GCTCTCTACTAGGGTCTCTGTCCCAGTGTGTGTGTGTGTGCCCGTCCCCCTCCCCGTCTGTGCGTGATTCTCCCTTTGTTTTCCCTCCGCCTCAGGCCGCGCTTTTTGCCTCCCCCCGCGTGTGCCTCTGGCTCAGGGCCTCAGTTTCCCCATCGGGGCAACGGAGAAGGTAACGGGCCGTCCGGGAGGGCTAGGGGCGCGAAGCCACCTCCGCCCCGAGACTGAGCTTCTGCACGCCTCCGTCTCCAGGGTCCTCCGAGGGCCCCCCTCACTCCCCATCTCGGCGCGCGCTCCGCCCCTCGGAATTCCCGGCTCCGCAGGGGGGCGGGTCTGGCAGGGAGAAGGGGCGGGGGAAACGGGCTAGAAAGTTTGCTGCAACTTTTTTTTGAGCTAAGTCTTTGGAACGGATGCGCGTGGCCCGCGCAGGCGCAGTAGTAGGAGGAGGTCCGCGCCCGCGTTGCTGGCCCAGCCCCCTTCTTCCCGGAGGCCGAGTGGCACAGCTGGGCTACAGCTGGACAAGGGGCGGTACCTCCTAGCGGCCCGCTATTGGCCGGATGTCCATGCCACGCCCCTCAGCCCTACCCCCTACCCCTGATTCGTCTGCTTCGCCTCCCGCTAGCTTCCTGCCAGGCCATTGGCCACCTCCACCCGCCTTCTGATTGGCCTGGTGAGCATCCTCCTGCCCTCAACGCAAACACAGCGGACACCAAAGAGTTTCAGAGCTTTGGGCAGACGAGAGGGCCTTTTATTCGCGAGGGTCGGGGGTGGGGATCCTAGGTGGGGAAAGACAATAAATATCGAGGAATGTCGGGGTCTCAGTGCATCCAAAACGTGGATTAGGGTGCTGGGGTCCTGGAGCCTGTCAGCGGGTCGGAGGACAGGTCAATAAATACCCAAACCGCCAAGGCGGGCGGAGCCGGCTGTGGCTCCGAGAGCAGCGCACGTGAGGAGGGCCCGAGAGTCCCCGAAAAAGCGGGGCTGTCAAAAGCAAAATGTTCCCGAGAGAGCAGGCAGAACTCGCGCTAGACGTTCGCCGCGTAAAGATAAGTCTTCCCGGGAGGGAAGGGCCTCATGCACAAGGAAGAGTTGTGGTTTGCGAGCCGATGTGGTGGGGGTGCATGGAGAGTGAAAAACGGATGCCAAGCCATGGCCCTGCTGCCTTCTCTAGGTCGCAGTTTGCCCATCCACGTCGGGGCCTCAGCCAGGCTGGAGGAAGAAAGAGGTTCGCGATCCCCCCAGCAGCAGCAGCAGCAATCCCGGCTAAAATCCTCCCTTTCGCCGCGGCCCCGGCTCCTCCCTCCCCGGCCGCCAGGGGGCTGGCCCGGATCACAGGGCTGGAGTTGGGGCGCAGACCCACGCTTGAAGTGCGGAGAATCGCCAGGCGGTGGGAGTGGCTTCTGGGCCGTGCCCGGGTCACCCAACCCTCCAGTAGAGCCCGAGTGGAAGACAGGCTCGGGTTCTAGGGTTCAGGGGGCAAAGGAGGCTCCCGGGCGGGGACAGACCCGGGCGAGATGGCCGGCGCAGGACACCAACCCAATGCAGCAGCCCAAGGCTGCTGCACCAGCCAGAGCAGCGGCGAACAGGAGCAAGGAACGCGCCTCCGATAGGCCAGGCCTAGGGACCTGCGGGGAGAGGGCGGGATCAGCGCCCGGCGACACGGGCCTCTGATTGGCTCCTGGGACTTGCCCCGCCTGCGCCCATAGGAGAGTCCACAATCCTCCCTGCATCCCCCGCCCCGTTCCACACAGCGCGGGCAGCTATGGTTGGCCGGCTCGCAAGCCTAAGTCTTGTCCGGACTCATCATTGGCTGCTTCCTAGCGACCTGTGTTGATTGGCTGGCCGAGCATCCTCCCCCCCACTGCGGGCCCAGCCCAGCAAAGGCACAGCTAAGCAGAAGCGGCCTGGGGTACGTGTGGAGATAGGCAGGGGCGCGCGGCGGGCGGGCGTGAGCAGCCGGACGTACCCTGGCAGGGAGCAGCAGGTGGCGGCGGTGCATGGGGCCTGGCCCCACCAGCGGGCACTGGCCCAGAGCCACGGCCGGGGGGCCATCTAGCTGGAGAGAGAAGGGACAGGTGACCCGATCCGAGCCCAGCTCGGCCCGGCCGCCCTTGGCGGGAGCGAGAGACAGCGAAGGGAGTCTAGATCTGGGAGGGCATCTGGGGAGATCTCGAATGGGATCTGGTTAGAGGCCTGAACCGAGGGAGCTCTGGTACATGTGGGCTGAATGGAGAGTGTGTGCTGAGTGGAACCTCAAAGAGGTAGGGTGAGCCCTAAATCTGGATGGGGGTACGGGGAGATGGGGAAGGGGTCTGCAATGGGGGCAGCAGGCTTTACGCAGGGGAAAGAGAGGAGTCTTACATGGGAAGGTGGTTCCGTGGCCCGGGGACTGGGGACCCCCGTGACAGCTGGAAGGAGAAGAGAAAGGCGTAGGGCGCGTG